GGCTTGCTCTCCTTGGGCTGCACCCACTGTCCAACCAGTCTCAATGAGATGAACCAGGTACCTCAGTTGGAAATGCTGAAATCACCCACCTTCTGTGTTGATCTCACTGAGAGCTGCACACCAGAGCTGTTCCTATTCGGTCTTGCCAGCAATCTATTCTTGAATATTTTTTGATACCGATCACATATTCTTGATATTTTTTGATGCTGTGATAATGAATGGTATCTTTTTAAAAACCTTTTTCTAGCCTGGGCAACATAAGGAAACCTCATCTCAACAGAAAAGTTAGCTCGGTGTGGTGGGATGTGCCTATGGTCCCAGCTGCGGAGGAGGCTGAGGTGGGAGGATCACTTGAGCCCAGGAGGTTGAGACTGCACTGAGCCATGATCACCTGATTATTCCACTGCATTCCAGCCTGGGTGATAGAAGAAGACCTTGTCTAAAGAAAAAAAATCTTTGTTGTTAGTTTATAACGAATACAATTGATTTTTACATACTGTTTTTTAGATACCGTGGCACTGCTAAATTCACTGAGTAATTCTGATAGTTTTCTGTGCATTTTTTGGATTTTTACAGGTACACAGTTATGTTTGAAAATAGTATAGCTTTTTTCATTTTGAATCCTTTTAACTTTCTTTTCTGTGCCTTGTTATAATTGCTGTGACCTCCAGTATAACAGTGATTAGAAAGGGGTGATAGGTGCTGTTCTTGTCTCATTTCTTATTTTAAGAGAAAGCTGTCAATATTTTACTTTTAGTATGATAATTGCTGTAGAGTTTTGTCCCTGCTTTTTGTCAGATTGAGTGAGTTCCATTTTATACATAGGTTATTAATAATAGTTTTTTTTTTGTGACTGGGTGTTGAATTTTATCAAATTATTTTTCTGCGTCTATTTAATTATATATTTTCCTTCTCTAGTCTGTTACTATGGCAAATTACATTGACTTTCTTTCTTTTTTTGAGACAGACTTTCGCTCTTGTTACCCAGGCTGGAGTGCAATGGCACAATCTCAACTCACCACAACCTCTGCCTCCTGGGTTCAAGCGATTCTCCTGCCTCAGCCTCCCGAGTAGCTGGGATTACAGGCATGCGTCATCATGTCTGGCTAATTTTTTGTATTTGTAATAGAGATCAGGTTTCTCCATGTTGGTCAGCCTGTTCTCAAACTCCTGACCTCAGGTGATCCGCCTACCTCGGCCTCCCAAAGTGCTGGGATTATAGGTGTGAGCCACCATGCCTGGCCTACATTGACTTTCAAATGTTAAGCAAACTGTGCATTTAGGAATAAGTCCAATTTGTATATAATTTGTTATCCCTTTTGTATATCAATTGCCAATATTTTGTTTAGGACTTTTTCATCCATTATTGTGAAAGGAATGGAATTGTATATTTATAGAATGTTAAATATATTGTTCAGGTGTTTTTGTTTGTAGATCTTTGAGAGAATAAATTACAAACTAGCATAAGGTGAAATTTTTGTGGTAAACTAGAGGTCTTATAACTGGCTTAAGTCCAGCTGCTTGCTACTCAGAGGCGAAAAAGACCAGAAATGAGGTGTGATGAAAGGAAAGCAGTTTTAGAATGGCCAGGCTGTTACCTTCAAAAGACTATTCTGTAATTTCTGAAACATGCTTTCCCATATTATAATTTTTTCTTAATTGGAAATGACCTAGACATCTAATGAGGATCAATTACTTCATTCAAAATAATTTTAAGATTTTAAATTACACAGAAAGTCCACTTATAAGCATTTATCTCATTTATATGTCCTGAGCTTTTTTTCATTTTTAACAGTTTACCTAGGTTACTTCTGAAAAGTGAGCTGTTGTACAAAGCTAGTCATTATTTAAAGTTGTTTCGCTGTTAACCATTTTTAAAGTCTGAATAACAGGTGAACAGCTAAGTAAGAACCTTAGAATTAAATATCTTTTGCCGATAACTCAGAAGATTGAGCTGTTTTCATCGAACCAATAATCTAAATTAAATTAGTCTTATTTGTAAAAATAAAACAAAAAAAGTCACACAAATATTAGTCTGTTTTTGAGGGTTTATAGTCTTATAACTTTTATGTCAAACCTGACATCTTAATATATAGACAGAGACAGATATAAAACCATTTGGTCAATAAACTCAGACAAAAATGTATGCTCATAACTCTGAAAACGTTTATTTTTATTAATAAATCTAAAATCATTTTTATTTACCAAGATTCCTGTCAACTTGAAAAGCATTAGGACTTTTTTTTTTTTTTTTTTTTACCTGTATTTTTGAGACGGAGTTTCGCTCTTGTTACCCAGGCTGGAGTGCAATGGCGCGATCTCGGCTCACCGCAACCTCCGCCTCCTGGGTTCAGGCAATTCTCCTGCCTCAGCCTCCTGAGTAGCTGGGATTACAGGCACGCGCCACCATGCCCAGCTAATTTTTTGTATTTTTAATAGAGACGGGGTTTCACCATGTTGACCAGGATGGTCTCGATCTCTTGACCTCGTGATCCACCCGCCTCGGCCTCCCAAAGTGCTGGGATTACAGGCGTGAGCCACCGCGCCCGGCCATTAGGACTTTTTTAATTTATGAGTACTCATTTACTTATAAGCCAATTTGGTAGCATGCTAGATACCACATATAATACATGTATTTCTAAACATGTATAGACACAGGCACAAAGATCCAATATCTTTTACCTCAGAATCTAAACATAAGATAGCAGTACAAACTCACCACTGTACAAAAGAGCTGATCCAAATTATTTTTCTGATAAAATTGGAACCTGTTCACGTGGCTAAACCTTGTTTGCCCTTATAGATAATCTGAGGAAAGCTGTGAACCAAAATTTGGGTAAAGCAATCTCTGGCAGTTTGGCCTTAAAAAATATCTTTTAGGCCAGACACGGTGGCTCACGCCTGTAATCCTAGCAGTTTGGGAGGCCGAGGTAAGACCAGCCTGGCCATCATGGTGAAACCCCATCTTTAAAAAAAAAAAAAAAAAAAAAAAAAACCTCTTTTATCCTTTTTTTCTCTTTTTTCTTCAGTTTCAAATGAGTTCCTAATGATTGTATTATAGCCATAACTGGCTGAAAACTGTATAAGAAAAAAAAAAGGCAACCTTCCAAGTGATATTTAAACATTGAGTTTTATCTCAATTCAAGTAGCTTAATAACAGCATGTTCAAAGCAGGCAGAAAAGAAAAGCGAAAATAGCTAGCTTTAGAGAACTGTTTAATTTTAAAGTTGCAGGTTAACCATTTGAGCTCTGAATTTTTCTTATTTGTAATTTGCCCATTAATTTTAAAATGTACACAAAAACAGGACATAATATTTAACCAACTGGAGTCTCAGAAGTCTAGGAAAGAGCTCACATGCTTTCTTCCCTAACAAAGCTCGATACAGATACAAGAAATACTCTGAAGTCCAAAAGAGGATGACAAAATCAGAGGCCAGGTTGTTGGAAACCATTTCTCCCCTAGCGAGGAGAGGAGCAGCCTATCTTGCTGCTTTCTAGTTTTGGTGGATGGGATGGAGATGGTTTCAAAGCACTCTTCAACAGAGGGGTAACGCTAAACAGAGACACAAACACAGACAGATCCGATGCAGATGGAACACTCCAAACCCATTCCCAAGAAGGAGAGAGTCCTGAGATCTTGTCTCAAACCTAGACAGCACCACAGAGTGACCTGCACTGGGTCCAGATAGCAAAGAGGTCCAAATGGCACCACAAAATGACCTATACTAGGTCCAGACAATTAGAAAGCACAGTTAACAAAGATGGAGAATTTCCCAGTACACTCTGGTTGATTTATCCAACCCTTGAATTCCGTTGACTTCCCAGATGCTACTTTCCATATACCAGCTGAACGTTACAGCAGCTGATGCCACGAAGGGGAGGGAAGAAAAAATCCTTGAGACAAGATTTGGTCTCCTTAGCTGCTGGGAATTCCTTAAGGTCCTAGCTGCAGGGTCAGCTATCCATGAGCAGCTGGCATTTGCAAGTGGTCCCTACTTTGGCCTGGTAACCTGAGTGGGTGAGCCGTGGCCCCCTCCCACAGCCAGTTGCTCCACTAGTTGGAAACCAGGCGTACAAGCTAAGCCCCCTCAAAACACGCAGTTCCTCACACGGGACACCACATTTGTAACTGACTCAAGTCTGGCTGTTCACCACACAGAAGCCAAAAGCACAAGAAGTGAAGTATGGTAAAAGGAAAGCAGTTTTATTATATGCTAACAATTGGGGACTGGCCAGGCTCATGCCCTCAAAAGACCATTTCAACTTTTTGGGCTGAGTGAATGAGTTTAAGAAGGAAAAGGTATGGGAAATATATGGGAGTGGTGCACATCTGAATGTCTTGTTCTGATGGTTATATTGCCTAATCACCCATCTGGAGGTATGGTTTGTGTCTTCCTGACTTCAGCTGGGTAGTGGCAGGTTAATTGTTCGAAACTCCCCCTAAGTGAGGAAGTCTGAAGCTCAGTTTCTGCTTGGTTTGTTTCAAAATTGGCCCCTGAAATTTCTAAGCAAGTACATAATTAGATACGTGAACAGTGTTCGTGGAAGCGCCTGGTGGGAAAGAGAAACTAAGAGTTTCCAAAGTGTGCTTCGAGGCTGAAAGCAAAAAGGGAAAAAAAAAGTTTTAAAATGCATTTTGAGGCTTGGATATCGGTCTGTGAAGAGTGGTAAATTAACTTCTCTATTAGTAAGACTTTATACCACCTATGCGTTTTAAAATTTTTTAGTTATTTGTTTATTTGTAAAGAAGCATTTAAATCTGCCAGGGTCTCTAAACAAAGTTCTTAGTAACAATTTAGGGAGGTGACTATAGTGCAACTTTGTGAAATTGACTTGCTAAAAACAAATTGTTAAGTAGCTGGCTTAAAGCTTTTTGTTTCACTCCTTGTTTGTTTTTAAGAACTGAATACTAATATAGTTTGTAACATGTTCTGTTGTTTAGGCTTAGTTTGTTATGATCAAATATTCTTGCTTTTTAATGACAACAAATACAATTTCAGAAACTAAAGAGTACCAAGAACCAGAGGTTCCAGAGAGTAACCAGAAACAGTGGGAATCTAAGAGAAAGTCAGAGTGTATTAACCAAAATCCTGCTGCATCTTCAAATCAGCGGCAGATTCCAGAGTTAGCCCGAAAGATTAATACAGAGGTAACTTTTCCACTAAAGTACAACATTGCTTTTTTGTTCATAATGCATTTTTGAAGTTTGATGGTCATATTAAATGTTTTCGTTTATTAAATGTGTGTGGACCTTATTTAGTAGAATAGTTTATTTAAAGGATTTTTTAATCATTTATAAAATAGTGATCAGGAACAGTCATACGTTCAGTAAGAGTCAGTCTGAATTCCTTTCTATGTTCAATAGTGTTTCTAGGTTGCTGGTAGACTGGTGCAGGGGTTGGCAGACTACAGGCTATGGACCAAGTATAGTTCTTAGCCTGCTTGTATAAATAAAGATTTATTGGAACACTGACACACTCATTCATTTAATGTCTATGGCTGCTTTTGCATTATAAGAGCAGAATTGAGTAGCTACATTAGAAACCATCTGGCCTGCAAAGTTTAAAATGTTTACTATCTGGTCCTTTGCAGAAAAGTGTATACCAATCTCTGAACTAGTACAGTGCTGTCCCAAGCACTTAACAGTTTCTTATGGTCATACTCACTGATAAAAATAGAAAAATGTATTCTACACAATATACATGAATTTGTAACATATTGAATGCTCATTCCTGGTGGCCTTTCCAGAAGGAATGATCAGGTAGGATACCTAAAGAGCCATAGCTACAGTTCATGGCCATAGTTTCCTTACCATTTCTTTTCAGTGACTTGCAGTAAAGACAGTAAAGGCCTTATTTTCTAATTCACTGGTTCTCAAATATTTGTTCCTTTTATATTCTTTTTTTTTTTTTTTTTTTTTTT